ACCATTCTTATAGTGTCCATAATTTTAAACCTTAAACTTCTTTCAAGTCTGTGTATTACTAAACTGACAGCAAATTAACTTGAAATCGGAGACTAACTGAAACAAAAGTCTGTTCAAAAAGGTTATGTAGTAAAGGCAGGAGAAGGTTATTCCCTCAAGAATTCCAGTAGTTATTTACCGCCCTTTATTGGAAAGGACTGTGTCCCACCGCATTAATTACCACTTCCCACAGACAGCAGGCATCAAGGGGAGAGACGGCTCGGAGAGAAGCTGTGAAAAGCGGTTCTTTTCCCAATGTACCCCCTGAAGGGTAAATCACTTTTTATTATAAAAGATTCAACTTCAAATCCATAAACACTGTTGTGCTCTGCTCAGCAGTTCAGAGTATCACACCATACCACATATTTTACAGCTCACAGATATATGTCAGCTCCAGTTGAAATTTAGTGATCACATCTTAATTCAACCCCTCTGATATTTTTGTGAGAAGCAGGCAAAAATCACTCAGGACTGAGAATCACCACTTTGGAAATAAAATATGGTTTTCAAAAAAATTATTTTAATTTTATTGTTATAGTATAAAATAAACAAAAACAGGTTTTTTTTTATTTGATTTATATGATCACAACAAAAATGCAGGTTGACTTAAGAGGTGATTCTGTTCTGTTTCTCAGCATTCTTTCTCTATAAAGAACTCTAAGAATTCTCCTATGTGTGATCATTAGATGTGTGAAATGCACATCATTTTAAAAAATTAAGTGGTTTGACATTCTATTTATTGATTAAAAATTGTAAGTTGTCTAAGCCCAAACTGTGCTTTGAAAACATTACAGAAAACTATTAATTATTAGGAGCTATCATTTTTCACATTCTTCCATATTTCACATGGAAATGTAATACAAATAGGTGAGCATTATTAGTCAAGTTAAAAATATAATGGCTCACAGAAAATGAAGAATCTAAAATAAGAGCAATGTAAGTATCCCTATCTGTATTAAAGACATGTCTTTGAGCAATTCATAATCTCTCAGTTACTGCACCTGGAAAGTGAGTTTTATGTACTCTATGATTCCCAAGATTAGTCTCAGCTTAAACATTCTGTAATTCTAAAGGTACAATAATTTGCTAGTGAGGTATGGTTTATTTCAATATAAACAGGCAATTTTGTTGTTCCATCATCTTCATATGAATTATAAAATTAAACTGCACAAGAACTAGATGCCATAAAATACTATTTATACTCAATAATATTTTTATGAGGTTATACAGTGACAGATGACTTCTAGAATTAGAGATATGATCACATTGTAAGCTATGAAAATGTTGAATCACTATGTTGTACTCCTGAAACTAATATAACCAACATAATATTGTATATCAACTATTCCTAAATAAAAATATAAATTGAGTCTTGGGCAGTGTGGCTCAGTTGGCTGGAGTGTCGTCTTGTGACTGAAAGGTTACAGGTTTGTTCCCTGAGCATGCACGATCCCCAGTCTGGGCATGTACAGGAGGCAACTAATTAATGCTTCTCTATCCCATCAATATTCCTCTCTCTCTCCTTTCCTTTCTCCCTTCCTCTCTCTCTAAAAGCAATGAAAGATATGTCCTCAGCTGAGGGTAAAAATAAATGCATAAAAATAAATTGAAAAATATTGTGTCAATTTTCATCATTATGAATCAAAATAGACTACTATAATATTCAGCAAAAAATCACATATACTGTCACTTGAGGAGTAATATGAACTTGAAATGCCTTCTACTACTTGACAACCTAATTTGGTCAAAGATATAAAGCTGCATTTTATTGAGTAGCAGATATTGAGTCTGTCACTGACTTTCCCATGTACAGAGAATAGACAAGTGTTGTTCTGAGAAACAGTATCAAGTTATATACTATTTAAATATGCGATTGAAAGAAAAAACCTTGTACTCTAGATTATAATTGGGCAATTAATCATATTCCTTAATAAAAGAAACATCTTTCTTAATATCCAATATTTCTACTATATTTCATTACGATATAAAATTTTTCATGTATGTTTCTATGACTTCCCAATTTAATATTCATACCAATGTGATTGTAAAGCAAATCTAATATAACTTAATGTGAAAATTATATCTATAGAATGCACCTTTCTTGCAATAAAGTCTAGTTAAAAAAAAACACAGAAGTCAAAAACTTCATTTGAAAGTTAAATTTCATGGTTTGGTGGGCTGCAACAGTTTTACCCTGTTTGAAATCATTATAAACACAACACTCTACTTAATTATATTTACTAAAATTTATCATATTAGAAGACAATTGGTAAACTACAATATTTGTTTCTGTAATCTTTATTATTAAGATAATTATATGGTTCCTTGTTTCAGATTCACTCTTCAGAAAGTATATTACCATCTTGAATATTTGAGTTTCCATATTTAGCTTACTTAATACATTTAAAAAAAAACACCTCTCTTTACCCATTGTAATTTACAAATCTAGCTGATAAAATCATGCCACTGCAAACTGTTTTATAATCCTGATTTTCGTGATACAAACCTTGTATGATAAAATGTCTAGTAAAAAAAGTATTTTGGACTTCTGGCCAAGATGGAGGCATAGGTAGATATACTTTGCCTCCTCGCACAAACAAAAGGAGGACAATAAAATATTTAAAAACAAAAACAACCAGAACTACCAGAAAATTTAATTGTATGGAAGTCCAACACCCAAGGAGTTAAAGAAGGAACATTTATCCAGACCAGTAGGAGGGGCGGAAAGGATGCCAGCAAGGCAGAGTCTGGAAGACCAGGTGGGCAAGACTGCAGCTGATGTCCCAAGAGGTCCCACATTGGCATGCAGATACACGAGGGCAATGAGACAGACCGCACAATCCAGGGTTCCAGTGTGGTGAAAAGAAAGCCTCAAAACCTCTGGCTGTAAAAATTCGTGGGGGTTGAGGCGGCAGGAGAAACTCCCATCCTCACAGGAGAGTTTGTTGGAGAAATCCACAGGGCACTAGAACATAAACCTGGGAATCAGCACCAGAAGGGCCCAATTTGCTTGTGAGTGGCAGGGGAAGTGACTAAAACATGGCCAACAGCCAAGAAAGCAGCATTGTTCCCTCTCAGACCCCTCCCCTACATACGGAGCCACAACATAGCAACCTGGGTTGCCCCACCCTGGCAAATACCTAAGGTTCTGCCCCTTACAATGAAACAGGAGTGCCAAGACAAAGAAATATGGCCCAAATAAAAGTACAGATCAAAACTCAGAAAAAACAGAACTAAGTGATAAAGAGATAGTCAACTTATCAGATGCAGAGTTCAAAACACTGGTAATCAGGAAGCTCACAGAATTGATTGAGCTTGGTTGCAAAATGAAGGAAGAAATGAAGACTGTACAAAGTGAAATAAAGGAAAATATACAGGGAACCAACAGTGAAAGGAAGGAAACCATGACTCAAATCAACAATCTGGAGCAGAAGGAAGACATATACATTCAGCCAGAACAGAATGAAGAAATAAGAATTCAAAAAAATTAGGAAAGGCTTAGGAACCTCTGGGGCAATTTTAAACATTCCAACATCGGAATCATGGGGATGCCACAAGGAGAAGAGGAAGAGCAAGATATTGAAAACTTATTTGAAAAAATAATGGAGAACTTTCCTAATCTGGCTAAGGAAATAGACTTCCAGGAGGTCTAGGAAGCTCAGAGAGTCCCAAAGAAGTTGGACCCAAGGAAGCACACACCAAGGCACATCATAATTACATTACCCAACATTAAAGATAAGGAGAGAATCTTAAAAGCAGCAACAGAAAAGAAGACAGTTACCTACAAAGGGGTTCCCATAAGATTATCAGCTAATTTATCAAAAGAAGCCTTACAGGCAAGAAGAGGCTGGAAAGAAGTATTCAAAGTCGTGAAAAGCAAGGCCTAAATCCAAGATTACTCTACCCAGCAAAGCTATCATTTAGAATGGAAGGGAAGATAAAGTGCTTCCCAGACAAGGTAAAATTAAAGGAGTTCATCATCACCAAGCCCTTATTATATGAAATGTTAAAGGGACTTATCTAAGAAAAAGAAGATCAAAAACTATGAACAGTAAAATGACAACAAACTCAGAGCTATCGACAACTGAGCCTAAAAATAAAACCAAAAACAAACTAAGCAAACACCTAGAACAGGAAAAGAATCACAGAAATGGAGATGACATGGAAGCTTATCAGCAAGGAAGGAGATTGGGGAGAATGCAGAAAAGGTACAGGGAATAAGAAGCATAAATGGTAGGTACAAAATAGACAGGGGGAGGTTAAGAATAGTATAGGACATGGAGAAGCCAAAGAACTTATATGTACCACCCATGAAAATCAGCAAAGTTGGCGGGGGGGAGGCAGGAATTATAGTGGGAGGGGCAGTGCAGGGTGGAGGGGAATAAAGGGGAGAAAAAAATGGGACAACTGTAATAGCATAATCAATAAAATATACATACAAAAAGAAAAAAGGTATTTGAAGAGAACAATATCATAATTATTTTTATGCAGCCTCCAGAATACAGAAGACTGGTGGTTATAATTCAAGGATCTAATAAAGACTCTATGGCTTTCCTAGCTATAATAATTCCCCACTGTTTGGCTAATGCTACATATTTAGTATCATTCTAAAGTCTACTCTGTTTATAAGAAGAGTATACATTTTAACATGAGCCAAAACATAATCAAGTGAGTGTGCATATTTGAACAAATATTGAACCATTTACATGTTAAATAAATAATTAAAATATCTAATTATACTTCCCACATTCACAGAAAATGCTAGTGCCTTCTGTTGAAAATCTCTCTTCATTGTTATTTAAAAAATGTTTTTCTTACTCAATGTCAATATCATATATTTGTGCATACTGATATCATGAAACTTTAAATATTTATTTTATTAAAATCAATGAAGCAAATACACAGTTTTATTTTTATCAATTTTTTTGAAATCTGTGAGAACAAAGCCTATAATGCAGTACCTTTGGATATTGTTTCACAGGAATCAATACCCTTTCTGAGAGCTTTATGTTCTTGTTGCTGATGACATCAAGATATTTCTTTTCTTCATCTTCCTTTTTTCCATCAGAACCTTGAAATTTTTCAATTTCTGAAAAAAAAAACAAGAAAAAGCAATATGTGAAATGGAAAGTAATTGCAAATATACTGATTATTACTTTCCTTCTTAATTTTTGAAGAATCTTGATGAAAGGACTGAAACAGCACCTTGTTAACAGCCACAGGAATGCTGCTACTGATGTATGATGACCTCTGTCAATTCAAATTAAAAAGTGGTAATTGAAGGTGTGACTGTTTTCTGTGAAACAAATGATGCATTTAATTAACTTTAACATCTTCAAACAACATATAAGGAAGAATCATGTCCTTTAACTATTTAAAATATCTAAGCAAACGTAACTCCTAGGAGCAATGAATAGAATGAAATATACTTTAAGGTTGTATGTTTTATTTTTACTCAGAATTATTCCTAAGAAAAAATAATTAAAAAATAGTAATCATTCAATATCTAAAATAGGTTAGTAAAGATAAATAGCATGTTATATGTATATTCTAACCAAACCTAAAGGCAATTCAAAAGAGTGGTCACAGAAATGTTATATAAAGAATTAAATATGTAAATACTATCATTCGCATTCATCAATATGAAATTATCTCTCTGCATATTTAAGAGGAATTACTAAATTTGCCCTATGAGAATGTTCCCAAAATGGATATTTTTGAGCAAATGTATACAATTTATTGCTTATTTTTAAAATTAACTTAGTCTGCCAAGACTTCCAAACCTCTAATATGAGTACTGTACATAGAACAGAAAACAAGAAAATGTGTCAGTTTTGGAATCTATATTCTTGTAGGGAATGTGAACAATTAGAAACTGAATATATGTACACATTCATATTTATGTGTGAAGGTAAAAAAATAAACACAATAAATCTATTAAAAATATAAAGGAAAGTTTATATTTTACTATTACTTTAGATTTGGCGCTATTACTTTAGATTTATCACGTGATAGGTGAGCAGAATCCTGAAAAGTGAGAAGGATAAAGTCATGAGAGATTGAGAAACCAAGCTTTACAATCTGATGGAGAAACAGCTTGATATGCTCGAGGTTTGATAGGTTTTTAACAGGACAGATCATGTAAGACCCTGTAGACAACTGACAGTTTCTGCTTTTTGTTGTGAATGTAATGGGAAGCTGCTGGGCATCTGGATGCAGAAGGGAGGAAGTCATATTTGCTTTTTATTTGTAAAGATAACATCAGTATAATAAGCAAAACCAATCATAAGAGAGCAAGCAAACAAGGAAATCAACTTTTATGTGTCTAGCTGAGAAATGATGCTGATTTGGTCTAACAAGTTAGAGATGCAATGGTGAAATGAATGCATGTAGCTAGAGTCACTTCATGGGATTCACTGTGTAAAAATCAATGTTTTGAAGAAACCCTGGAAAATTCATTTCCTTTATTTCTTTTATGTTTATTGGCTAGTTATTGTTACCATAAAATAACCTGTAAACATTTTTCTCCTTGCTCTTGTCCAATTGTACTATTTCAAAGCACTTTCTAAATTAAGATATGAATGTTTCAGTTTTTATTTTATTTTATTTCATTTTAATTTGTTAGAGATGAAACACATTCCTGTTTCTGTTATTTTGGAAACAAAAAAGTGATGATAGCTATTAGATATGGAAATTATTAATTCATATTAATTTACATTCCATTTTTATTTAATTTTTAATTTTTTATTCAATTGCAGTTGTCCCCGTTTTTCCTTTTTTTAACAATTATTTTTTAAAGGTCTGACTACTTCTTTTGGTAGGAGAAATACTACTTTGCATCTAACAGCTTTGTTCCTTGTTATTTTTAACTAGCATCTCTCCCAAAATGATTTCACACAGCATGTATAAAATACCTATAACATTCCAGGTAGTAATCTTAAAGCATATTATTTATTTGGTCCATGTGAAGCTTTTAAAAAGTTTTTTTGAAGTAAGATTACATTGCTTACCAGATAATGTGTGAATGAATGCCACGTGTTTTGTATAGTGTCATTTACAATCACTTTTTACAGTTATATGCTATAATCTTTCTAAAGACAATTATCTTAAACTGAGCTGTCTGAAAAGAAGTTATTTGTAATATGTCTATAATTTCTACTTATTACTATGGCATCGGAGTCTTACTTTTGTACGCCAGAGCAATTGTAAGTGACTTTGACTGTCTTTTTAGACCAAAAAACACTATTTAACACTTTCAATCCATTATATAATCATTACATACAGAACTCTGACAACTACAAAGAAAGAATATTCATTACACCCTCTGATACTGACAATAAACTTGTGATCACTGCTCTTTGGATACACACACCTACATAATATTGTACTTACTAGCTTGCTGAGGTAATTGCAACACAGGACACAGTGAAGAAGCTGGCTCAATTCCCAATCTATTAAATGTATGGTTTCCCCCTTGTCATTCTTTCATAAAAATAAATTGAATTTGTCTGATGTTATTTGCTCTCTACAAAACTACAACCTTAGGCATTTTTAGATCGTTCCAATTTGATCCATTGATGATTAATTTCAATAACTTTTTCATCAAGAAATAGAGCTGAATGAAATACCATGTTCACTGCTTTTTCTGTTCATTTCTACACATTCATTTAAAATGTTTTGATATTTCTTTTGCCCTTCTCATACTTTCAGGGAGTTATCTTGTCTTCCCTTACATAGCTACATGACTAATAGCTCATGTATTTGTATTTGTCAATGACAAAGTCACAGAATAGTATATACTTGTCAGTGTTAAAATCAGAGAAAACAACGTATACAGCACCTTCATTTTTAATATGTTTACTGTACAGTAATTCTTTTTTCATTTCATAATTAAAGCATGCTTCTTGTGGAACATTTAGACACTATAGATATGCATTAAAATGGAAAGGCATCCATTATCATCCAGCAATTACTGAATAGTTTTGTGTAGAGGTGTTAAATCATTTTTTATACTTTACACAGTCTATTTAAATTTGGCTGCTACATTATTGGAAAAACATATTCAATATATTAAGGCAGGATGATTTTTTTTGAAAAAATGTTAAATGACACAGATTTTACTAGACAGGCACTTTTACCAGTTAAGACACAGAGGCCCTCATGGATTTTAGTATTTTATGTTCCCCTTTCACTGTTGGTAGGATAATGTGTATATTTACTCAATAATTATGTTTGCATTCATTAACATTTTAGTGGTTATCACCACAGTATGAGGATTATGTGGACATTACAATAGAGGCAAACTTTGGCCATGCTGGTCATTCACCTTGCACCACTTCACCCACTGGTTTAAATAAGATGGAAGCTACATAGAAGTTAATTTTTGTTGTGGTAAAAACACATAACATTATTGATCATCTTAATCATTTTTAAGTATACAGTTCTGTAGTGTTAAGTATATTCACATTGTTGTACAACAGATTCTAAAACTTCTGCATCTTCCAAAACTGAAATTGTAGAGCCATTAAAAACTCATTTTGCGTCTCTGTCCCCCAGGCTTTGGTAATCACCTTTTTTACTTTCACTTCCTACAGTTTTAACCACTTTAGATAATTAATATGAGTGAAATATAACAGCATTTGTTTTTTTGTGACTGGCTTATTCCACTTAGCATAATGTCTTCAAGGTTCATCCATATAGCATATGATAGAATTTCCTCCTTCTAAAAATCTGTATAATGTTCCATTGCATATATATACCACATTTTCTTTATCCATTCATCTGTCAATGAACATCTAGGTTGCTTCCATTTCTTGGCTATTGTGAATAATGCTTCAATGAACATGGGTGTGCATATATCTCTTCAAGGTCTTGCTTTAAATTATTTGGATATATATGCAGGTTGGATTGCTGGATCCTACGGTAATTACATCTTTTATTTTTCAAAGACTCTCCAAACCATTTTCCAAATGACTGTAAATTTTTGGTCAGGACTTGTGAATATTACATGAAAAGGGTTGATATTCCCTGTTGTTGGGCAAAAGGTTGAATATAAATCAACACAACTTCTTTACCCATTCAGAATCCATCTTGAAATGAAAAAAATGCATGAGTATGGATGACCTAGGGAGCATTATGCTAAGTGAATAAGCAAGTCAGAAAAATATAAATGTCATATGATCTAACTCATACATGGGATGTAATGAAGAAAATAAACTTACTAATAAAAGAGCGACAGACTCTAAGACAGACAACAGGCTGACAGCTGGCAGGGAGGGCAGGCTGGGGGGTTGGTTAAGGAATTGAGCAAAAAAGAAAAAAAAACAGAGAGAAAGAAAGAAAAAAACTCATGGACACAGACAACAGTGTGGTGATTGCCAGAGGTAGTGGTGGTGGAGGGAGGTAGAGGAGGATTAAATGTGGGGCTAAATATAAGGGTTAAATATTGATGGATGGAGATGTGACTTGAGTAGTGAACATACAATACAATGTACAGATGATGTACTGTAAAACTGTGCACCTGACACCTGTACAATTTGTTAACCAGTATTACCCAAATAGAGTCAATAAAAAGGAAAAAAAGAAGTGTTTGAGAATTTCTTTGGAATATGTATATACAAGAGGAATTTTTGTTCATAAATTATGCATATACTTAATCTGACAAAGTTATGCTATTTCGTTTTACAAAATATACTAGGCAGAGTCTCACAAACAGAGCTGAAGTGTTTCTATAACAGCCATTTTCCTCTAGTGGCTTAATCTTTTAATCTCAACTCATTATCTTATAGAAACAAGACAGAGCACCTAGGATAATAAAAGAATAAAGAAACCCTGATATCTGAAAACATCCCCACAGTCCAGGTGATCTACAAGAACCCTATAATAAAAGTGAATTTCTCAAAACATTGAAAATAATAGGAACCCCGCTGGGTCCTATGTGGTAAAGCAATTATGGGGAAAGCATGGATGACTAAAAAAGAAAAATTCCAAAGAAGATATACAAATGGCCAACAGACATAGAAAAAATGCTCAAGCTCAGTAATCATAAGAGGAATTCGAATTTCAAACACATAATTATTCTCAAAAGGA